GTAGCCTTGGATGGCGTGAAACTCACTATGTAGGCAAGGCTGGCCTTGAACTCAGAGATCTGCCTAGCTCTGCCTCCCAAGTCCTGGAATTAAAGGCTTCCACCACTAAGCCCAGCTCCCTATTATTTTTACTCTATGTATGTGTGTGAGTCTGTGCTTGTGAGTGCAAGTACTCACAGAGATCAGAGGCATCAGATTCCCTTGGAGTCACCTGGCGTCAGAATTAAACCCAGGTCCTCTGCAAGAGCATCATGTAGTCTTAACCACCGAGCCATCTCTCCAGCCCCTCATATGTTATTTTAAAGCCCAAGGAGTAACAAGTGACGTTTACCTGGGCAGTGGTGGCGCACGCCTTTAATTCCAGCACTCGGGAGGCAGAGGAAGGTGGATCTCTGTGAGTTCGAGACCAGTCTGGTTTACAAGAGCTAGTTCCAGGACAGGCTCCAAAGCCACAGAGAAACCCTGTCTGGAAAAACCATAAATAAATAAAGGTGTGTACCACCACTGCCTGGTGGAAAGGGTTTATTTGGTTTATACATTGTAGTCCATCAGCAAAGGAAGTCAAGACAGGAACTCAAACAGAAACAGGGCAGGAACCTGGAGGCAGAAGCTGAGGCAGAGGCCATGAAGGCATGCTTGCACCTCATGCCTTGCTCAGCCTGCTTTCTTTAAGAACTCAGGACCACTGGTCCAGAGATGGCCCCACCCACAATAGGCTGTGCCTCCCACGTCAATCACTAATTAATAAAACACTCTCCAGTCTTTCCGACAGCTGCATTTTATGGAGACATCTTCTCAATTGTTCCAAGTTGACATAAAACTAGCCAGTACATCAGGTGACCCTGGCCTTTAATCCCAGCACTCTGGAGGCAGAGGCAGGTGGATCTCTGTGAGTTCGAGGCCAGCCTCGTCTACAGAGTGAGTGCCAGGACAGACAGGGCTCTGAGAAACCCCGTCTTGAAAAATGGCCCCGAGAGTGATTCCAAGCATGACAGGCTAACAGAATGCCGAGGCGGCTGGATGTTCTCTGTAGGTCAGGAGCAGAAGTGTTTTGAGGTTCTCTGTGTTAAAACTCCTGCCGGAGTTGTGGCCCAGCACCAGGGCCAGTTGTTAGTGGATGAATTCCAGGCCAACTCTCCCCTAATGCGGAGTGTGACCAGTTTGTTGGGGAATAGCCCTAGCCAGTTAGCTCTTGCTGAAAGGGGTAAACTAAACTGAAAGGCTTCACTTCTAATAATTTACACTGGAGAAAAATTGTATCAATTTGATAAAGCCTTAAGTTCCCATTCAACTCTTATGATTCATACCAGAGAGAAATAGAGGGACCAGACCCTCTCTCAGCCCCCTCCTTTAGCAGCCATGACAGGCTACAGAAAAGACACCTAGGCCTCTGATTCAGCACATGACACAAGGAAACTCCAGATGCTCTGGCATCCCAGAGCCGAGGGCCAAAACTGAACACAAAGAAACTCCAGAAACACCCCCCCACATACACACACACCTCCTAGACGCTTGGTTCCTAGGAACTGTGTTTGGCCACAAAAGAAACTTCAGGGGAGACCAAAACCTCCCCTGTAGTCTCAAGGAAACAATTCTAAAAACTACTGGGATCTATGTACAACAGGCCACCTTCAAGTAACAAGACAAAGCCATAGAAACCACAGAATGTTCCCTCTCAGCACTGACCAATGAGAATAATTGGTACACAGACAGGTATCTCATGCCAAAATATGACTCTGAGAAATTCTAATTGTTCCCAAATGTCAACCAATCAGAAACCAACCCATACCTACTG